TTCAACACGCGTTTTTGTAACGTCGGTATGTAAACCGGGACTGCAAGCTATAATTTGCGAGAAGTAAAGTACGCTCATACAGAATAAAGTATCTAAACCGGAAATATTGTGGAAGCTAAAATTGTATATTTGAAAGGATAATTGTGGGGCAATATAAGTGCATCTATATAGCGAGAGAAAAGGGAGAAATGATATTAAGAAACTAGTGGTCATTTCCTTGATGACGTCTCAGTTTTCAAAAGCTAAGTAATATTTCGATCATTTAGTCTTTTATAAATATCTTATCTTATTTCAAGTATCATATATCGCTAAGTCTATTACCTCTTGGTTTGAGGAGCCAATATTTCAAAGGAGTATATTTCAAAACTCAATGCAACTGTAATTATCAATGAGAATTGTTTATTGAAAGCTAAGAACATTTGTAATTTCAAAGCAAAGGCGCGACGCAAAACAAAAAGAAAATCATATATTTAAAAGTAGCATTGTCAGATAAAGAGTTAATTATTGTAAGCGATCGATATTAAAATTTTTTTATAACATGAAGATATTTCAGTTTGTCTATCTTTTCACATTTTCTCAGATTCTCAGATCCGTCACTCTTGGTACATTGGATGCGACGGTAGGAGCGGTAGCAGTGGGACGATTTTGGTAACGATGGTGACGATGATGGTGGTGGTAGTAGTGGTGGTGCAATGTAAGGCGCAACGCGGGCATACACACCACGGCAGCATCTGAGGATGTGGCAATTACGGACTCCTTGCCGCAGACGAACGGACGGACGGACGGGACCGCAGCCACGAAACGCCCCTCGCGTTACACATATGTTGCCTGCCGGTCTCTCCTTCCACGTCAGCGATGATCCTCCGGCAGGCGATGTGTCCCTCCAGCCCGCGCGACCTCTCCCTCGAATTAACGTACGTGTGTACGAGGCAGCACGGAAGAGCGGCTCCTGTGGGAACCGAGCTGCCCCGCTTTTGTGCGGCATCGTTCTCCGCGGCCGCCGATCCTGGAAGCCGCTGGCTGGATGATCACGAGGGTCACGGCGAACGCCATTTACCTGTCGTCGTGTTCGTCAAGAGGTCGTCGCCGAGACCACAGCCGTAGAAACGACGGTATCGCGTATCAGCGTAAGTAAAATTTAACGAACGATAAACAGACATGATATGGATGATTAAGTTATTAAATTACTACTATCTAAAGTTCTCAGTTTAATAGAATTATGAAGAGAAGAAAAAGGCTGTGTGCAGGTGTGTATATATGGCGCTTGTCTTTTACATCGAATTTTCATTTGAAATATTTATAATCAAACTTTATCTAAACCATTTGATCTTTTATTTAGAAATGTACGAAAAAACGTGAGATCGAAGCGAAGGAAACGCTCTGCCGGCTCGCGATGACCGCAACCTCGAGAAATTAATCGACCCCAAATGTAAAGTGGTTCTCCGTCTGAGCAGAGTCGCGTGACGGTGTCGGGAAGGTGGTCGAAGGCGCGAAGAAAAAATGGGTCCGCTTTATGTGACTCGATCGTTCGAGGGCGAGAAAGAAAAAGGCGATCGCGGCGAGCGGTTATCATGCTCGAGATAAAAATGTCGCGCATACTTCATAAAGCGCCAGTAAGTAACTCGACCGTTAACCGAACATCGCGTAAAATGTGTCGATCGTTCTTGTCACGCGAGTATTCCACGTTGTGCATGTTATCCGTTACTAAAAATGCATAAATCCGGACAACCTGTTAACATCGCGCGCATAAAATCCGCAAATTTTATCTTGTAAGTGTCTTTATTAAGAATTTCCCATTTAGATCGACTTTCAAAATACGATGGAAATTAAGAAAGATAAACGTTTATTGGAAAAACATCACTGAATTCTTGCGAAATTATTCTAGAAAAAAGATTTCTCAAATTTTCCAATTTTTTTTTAAATTAAAAATAGCGGAAAATCACGGAATTTGTCATCTTATTAGAAAATATATCTCTTGATATATTTTCATCAATTAAAATATTAAAGAGAATAATCTGATCTTTAAAGTTTTTCTTCTTCAGCAGAGGTAACCCCTGCACGGTCGCCGTTCCACTTTCTGTCGAATATATGCTTATATTTGCGTTGTGAGGTGATCGCCGAGTAACGGTGACACCCAGTGTCATCACCTGACCCTGCGTACGCCGTAGCCGTGAACCTCTTTTTCTTGTACGCTGTCGACAATAGACATACGCGATCGTCCCATACAGGTCTGCACGCGATGACCTCGGCACTTCCTGAGGATATTCGCGAGGAGGGACGCTTCCTAACGGGAGCGTCATCCTACTTTCCGGTCACAAATTTCCATCTAACGATGTACAATTTATATTACCGTGGAATGAGATATGTAAAGTTTCGTAAGTTGTATGATTTGTCGAGGCAACGAGAGATCACATGTGACTTCACGGAAAAATTGGTAAGTTGAAAAGATGATCTCCTCCTATATTTAAATGTAATTATTGATTTATTGCAATTCTCTCATTTCCTATTTTCGCTAGTTATTTTTTTTTTTAACATTAAATTATTATCTGATCATCTAGTTTCTTTCTGATTTGCGAATTATCAAATAATGTAGAGCGATAGATATTTCCATAATTTTCGTTTTACCAAAATTGTGCAGTTCGTTCATCGACCTTGAATAGAGCCTAGGTTCAAGGGATATCAAAACTAGTGCGCGCATGAATGCACGAGGCCCAAACATCCCTCTTACAACTGTCTTCCCTCCCCCCCCCCCCCGGATCCTAATGTACCCCCGGGCTTATGTTCGCGTGCGTACGCACCGGCGTGCCAGCGAGATTACAGGGCCTGTTTGGGACTTACCTCGATCTAAATCAATCGCGAGCCGAGTGCCGAGCAGAGAGAGAAAGAAATTTTCTTCGAGAGAGAAACAGAAAGAGAGAAGACGATGGTTCTCTCGGGTTCTCACCTGTGTATCCCCTTCATCCGAAGTGACGAAGATGAATGACGAGGCAATACGTGATCGTCATTATCTTTTTCGCCTTTGACATATTTATGCTGTTTTCAAACGATCATTTTGGTGTTAGATCTGACATTAGAATTTGCTTTGTCATAGAAGTTAGAAATAGATAGAGAAGTTTATTAATTAGAATAGATTGGAAAATCAATATTTTGCAAAATTAAAAAAATTATTTTTAATTCACTGGGTAGGAAATTTTGTAAATTCTTGGAAAAGAAATATGAAACTTTTCTTATGAAGGAAGGGAAAGAGTGGGAAGAGTGAAGGAAGGGAAAGGTTAGAATTGAAGTTTATTTTTTGCGTGGTATCATACCAGCTTCACAACCGTATGGCCAGTCCGCATCCCTACGTCTACGAGACTGACGGCGCACTTATTGAAAATTATTCCTCGCGTGCGAGGATTCGAGTAAAGGCAGAGAGGAGGAAGAGGGAGAGAATAAAAGGAAAAACCCGACTCGGCAGTCTTCTCAAAATTGCGACTGCAGGAGGCAAGCCCGCGTTTGCTTCGACGGGTTAAAACACTTTAGAAGGTAATATCTTCACACCCGGGCCATCCGGTGGCGAAGATTGCTACAGCCGGGCTTTGCCTCGGGCCCGAAGGAAATTCCGGGTCCAGGGGAGGGAGGGGAGAGGGATTTTTACGGAAGAGTACCTAGAAGGGCACTCTAATTTCAAATTGTTGCTCGCGTGCAACCGGAGCGCTAACGAACGGATGCAGCAGTCGTGGCTGCAATCAATTTTCGCAGCGGCTAGCCTTTACCATTCCTGACAAACTTGAAGAGGCTATAAGAGAAGATATTAAACTGTTTGTACGCAGTTTAACATGGAAGCACGTCAATCTCCGATACGGGCAAAACTTCGAAATAATTTGCTGAACATGATGAAATCGCTCAAAACGAAAAAGAAATCACGACGTTGAATTTAAGGGTGAGACGTTACTTTGTCGAGGGTTACTTCGACACTCGGATGAAAGGGGACACATAGGTGAGAACCCGAGAGAACCATCGTCTTCTCTCATCGATTTAACTCTCTATTAGAATGTCATTATTAATGATAATGATATATTGTGTATATTTGATATGTTTGCACTTCGCTGCGCATTTCGTCATAAAACTATGATGAAAAGCGCAGCCCGATGGAACTCGCGGACGTAAATATTACTCGGCGTTGATTACCCGAGAATCGCGAACAAAGTGCGTAATCATACGCACGACTCGTCGGCGGAATGAAAAGAGCCGAAACGACGGCGTTGACGGCGGTGGCCAGTGGCGAGTGTTCAAAATTGTGGTTCATCCAATTTCGTCGTCGACCAGATTAATGCAGAGCAGCGACGAATATGGCAATGGCGGATAAGTGGGGCCGCGGGCCGCATGCCCTCCGGACCGTGTCACAAAAAGATCGCCTGTTGCCTTTAGGCGCAAAACACACGCAGGACCGGCGGCGGTTTCCGTTCGCGCATTTTCCGCCTTAATTAACGAGATTTCTGTAACGGGTAGCGACGGACCCTTCCCCTCCCTCCTCCCCCCCCTCGCGTTTATCGTTGGTTTCTCGTGGTCGTGGTCAGTTCAAAGCGGCCGTTATTACGCTGACTCGTCGTGCGTGAGCGACTTCTCGGGGGCACGGCGATACTTCCCTTTCTCTCCGTGGCGGAGTAACGTGGTAAAACGGAACGGTCGAGATGTTAATTACGATTACGAACTCGAGATAGGGAACGCGCGCTCAGCTCGCGAGCTGGCGGTGCGGTTTGCGACCGAGCGGACCTAATCGATGGAAATTTTATAGCCCGCCGCTTGTGTCATTAATATCGATGATGTGGCTAGTCGCGTCTAATCGTGTCGGTAACATACGTAGCAGTACGAGTCACTTGCTCCGAGCCACGTTTCAATCGTCGCCGTGTCGCGGACGACTCGTGTTTGCACACGGCTATAATGTTGGAAATGCATGTTAATTATAAGTAAGTAAAGAGAAAGAGAAAAATAGGCAGAATTTATTTAGAATTAATATATAATATTAATATAATCGGATTAATGGAAAGCCGAATTTTTTAAATTCCGTTCTTACTTTCGAAGATTGGGGATTTAATTTCGTATAATAAAAGTTTCTGCGCCTTCTCCCCCCTTGATCTATTTCTTCCCTTTTGCGGATCGTTAAGATGTGGAAAATTTGCTGCAAGGACTGAATTTCTAATTTCATCCTTCTGGAGTTGGGATCTACGGGGACGCCGGCGAGAGACAAGCCTTAGGCATTTTGTCTCTGAGGAAGGCCATCGGCATATGCAGCTCGCGTGCATCGACGTGACCATAGGATTCGAGTAACAGGTGCAGATGCGACGGAGGAAGCCTGATCGTTAGCCCGACAGCCCGCGGTGCATGTGTGCCTATTATGATTTCTTTCGAATTAGTCCCCCCCTCCTCTCTCTCTCTCTCTCTCTCTCTCTTTTCTCTTTTTCTCATACCCCGTACGTGTATTCGGGCGTACCTAACATTTGTTTCGTTGCATGTTTCGTGGCTGGATCCGTAACATGTGTTATACCACATCATCCCGTAGCTGTCGATGAGTTAGTGAGGGAGCAACCAAGAAAGCGGTTGACTCGCGATGACTTTGCGCCCATCATCCGTGCGAAATGGATACTCTAAACATGAACGTCTCGTTTAGCGATAAATCTGCACTGAACAAAGATAAGAGTATAATTTCTTGCTCAGGATTAGATAGAAAAAACGCATTAATTATTATTCTAAGTAATCATTTTATTATTACGTTTAGATCTTAAAATTTATATCTTGGTCTTTTTCAAGTCTCATATTTCAATCGTTTTATTGCTGTCCTAAATTTTAATTTATCTCGAATTAAGATTTGCATCTTCGACTTAACGAGGTATGCTTACCCTATCGCGAAATTCTGTCCGATCGATCGAGGATGGATATGAAACGGTACTCCGGAGATGGACCGGATGGTTCTCAGTCTTGTCTACCTATGCGCGCGCGAGCGTGTATGTGTGTGTGTGTGTGTGTGTGTACATGTGTATATACATGGCGTGATACACGTATCTATGTATATATGAAGTCAAATGTACGTGTATACACTGGAGAAAGCGTCTTGGCAAGGGATTTTGCAGAGGGTTGGCTGTTTGCGCCTCTCGACAAATAAGGGGAAGTCGTTATCCCGTGGATGGGAGGAGTAATTAACTGCTTCTACCTCCTTTCTGTCCGCTCCACCTCTCTCAGTATCCTCCCTTTCCAGCTTCGGCTTCTACTCGAAGGAACAGACTTAAGGAGACCCGCTTAGGCTTTCACGGGGTCGTGTCTTCATTATTCACGCTAATCTGCTCTCGCCCCGTGCTGCTGCCACCGCGAACCCTCCGTGGTACTTCCTTTCTCTTTCTCTCTCTCTCTCTCTCTCTCTCTCTCTCTCTCTTATTCTCTTTCTCTCTTTCTCACTTTCCTCTATCTATTCGTAATTCTCTCTTTGCGAAAATTATATTATATTATTATCATATGCGATACAACCGTGAAGCAAACGATGTGTACTGTGTTATGATACACTGCAATCTTTAAAAATGTAAAGATAAAGATGAACTTAATTTCTGAATCAACATTGTGCGAACCTTCGATTATTAAATTTTCTATTTTAATTTTAATTTTATTTTAATGTCATTAACAAAATGTCACGCAAACAAAAATTTATATTTATATTCTTGAATAAACAAATAATATTCATAAAATTTTTCCTGACAAAAGAATGAAAGAATTGAAGAATGACAAGTAAATATCGAAATATTTTAGAATATATTTAAAAAGCGTTTCGATCCGTTAATTATTCGCTTCTATCATAGATATGTAATAAATGTGTCATTAATAACCGGTGACTGAAACTCGTGTAAGTGCAACCGACATCACCGTGTGTATATTTTACGTTTTTACAGTGGACCACCATGGTAAAGGCGCCCCGCGACGATCGCCAAATTATGATGGATTGTTTTCTCTATTAACAGCTTGTGCCGACAGAGGCGAGACGTGAGCACCCCGACCGAGATAATCTTCCACCAATTTCGACTTCCTGATTGATCATGGCGATTCATCGGACGATTCGCTCAAACGGATCATCCGGAACGAACGAGTTGGATCATCTACCAATCCGAGACCTTTCGTTATCGCGGATTTAAAAAGTATATGTCGATACATTTAGGTTCGCGAAACTAGATTCGCACCTTTTTTGATTTTATCAGATATAAAAGAAAGTATTAAAGAATAACGATCTAATTGTTCGCATGTTAAGCTTAAATACTAAGAAAAAGTGAATCTAATTTAACTTCAATAACAATAATTTCAATTCAAACATAATACTAAAATTTATAGT